TATTTTATCTGCTGGTGGTCTACATTCTCCACAAATTCTCATGCTATCTGGGATAGGACCCAAACAACATTTAGAACAATTTGGTGAGTAGATGCATACTGAATTTTCTCTACCTTCCTATACATTACTAGTTTGAAGTGAATTACTTTACTATTATTATTTCAATATCCAAGTTCATATTGCTAAAAATCATAAGTAGTAATCTTCATCCTCAAGTCGGAAGGACGAAATCGCGAGCTTGCGGTTTGGCAGATTGAACGGCAGATACACAAGATGGGGGTTAAGATCACATTGGTGAGACCTCACAGTCGTATCACGTGTCGTATCCACTGTGTGATGGAATACGGGGCGGCGAACAGGCCTTTCATGCCTGCAGTGTGGTGAATAGCCGCCAAATTACGACGAATCCATCAAACTTTAAATCAAGGTGTGCTACTGGCCACTAAACAGCACTGCCTCGATAGGGTACGAATGCTAGTGGCAGCGTGAAAGTCACGCAGCCACTAGCAAAGAGCTTCGACAGCCTGCGCTCGATGAACTGCGCAACCCAATAATCCTGGATGACGTTCGAAAAACCGTTGTGGATACTGAAAATTTTCTGGCTCTAGACCCAGATGAGCCGAAAACTCTTAAGTGAAAAAGTACCAAGTACCCACCGCCACCTGGCTAGAGTATTCAACTCATGGCTGAATGGAGAGCAGCCATTTGCGAATAGGTTTGTCGAGAAGCGGAACGTTCTTATCTCCGAAAGCGAAGATTTTGTCAATTCCTAAAAATTACAGACCGATAACATGCTTAAATTCGTTTTGTGAGTTGTTGACGAGCATTTTCATCAGCAGGTTTACGAATTATTCACGAACAAACCGTAAGCATTCGTTCTATATGGATGACCTGAAATGTGTCTGGAAACAGGACGATGCCAAGGTCACGGAGAGGATGTGTAGCTCGTATATGGATGCATCCTGCACCATCTGAATGCCGGAGATATGTATACTTACCAAAACATGATGCATCTCTACAAAAGTTTGCATACCAAATCGTTCATTCGATGGTTATACTTTCCCCGATAACAGGAAGGCCGTGAGTTTGAAGGGGCCTGTAAGGTCGTCAGGAGTTCGTATTCCCACCTTTGCATGGTCCGCGATCATGAAAGAACAAAAACTGAACAAATACTGCGCGAGCGGCTGATAAACTAGGTTTTGTTTCCGACACTAAATGAGGTGGTCACAATTCTGTCACCGACTTGGAACCCGTCAGCTAAAGGCCCATATGAAAACCGCAGTGATCATTCTTCTTCAACGAAATTGAAAACTTCGGCTAATCAAAGCACATGATCTTCGTTTTCCTCAGGTCGAGTGAGCTGAAGTCGAAAACTGAGGGGTTCATCATGGCCTACCAGTATAATGTCTCCAACACCGATATACCGCAGTGACGTGACGAGTACAGAGGTTCATTAAACAAAGTGCGGGGCCTGACGCGAAGCGTCTGAGGCCTGATATTCAGTCTCACCCTATATCTAACGACATAACACGGCCCTGAGAATGCTTAATCACCTCATACCTTCAAGCTCATTTAGTTCATTAAACGTAATGTAGTTTTTCTCGGCCATCAGACCAAGACGATATTTGTCGAGGAGTTTTCGGCTCCCGGCGAGACGAATATTGTTCGAAAAGAGAAGGAGAACCGGATAAATTGTCGGGATTTTCATCTCGGACTCCACAGAGTCTATCCAAACCTTTCAGTCAGAAATGTTGTTACGATTATTGGAGTCTTTGGAGGAATGATGCCTTTTTCACTTCCGGAATTTTAGCCGGACAAATACAAAGGGCTGTCATTCTTGGTTCACTACATCTGCCAAGGGCACATGATTCTCAGACCCAATGATCATTTATAGCAGCATGTGAGGAGCTGTCAATGTTTGATAATGCTGGAGTGTCCTCCTGAACGTATCGGGGCTTCGAAGATGGGGCCAGACCAGCCCATTCTTGAAAAATAATATGCAGTGTTGCCCTACGTCCAAATAGATATTGAATCCGTTGTGGAAAAGGAGAAGTGCCGAATTCATTCGAATTACTCTTTCTCTACCCTCAGGACCATAAAAGCTAAATAATTTTGAATTGGTCATTGAATCATTACTGTACTGTTTTTCAAACTGTCTTCTGTTCTCAGTCAAGAAAACAAAACAATGCAGATCAATAATTAACGGACATTACCCATCTTATTGCAGGTATTCCCGTTATTCAGGATTTACCAGTAGGGGCTCAGTTGTATGATCACGCCACTTTTCCTGGAATGGTGTTTCGTCTGAATGAAAGTATCGGCATAAATATACTTAGAAAAACAATCACTCCTTCCACGTATCTGCAATATTTCAAAGAATCTACAGGAATGTTAACAACGTTAGGTGAGTACTTCTTCACAATAAAAGGTTGATTACTTTCAAAATGCCTTGAATTTTCAATGAGCCATTTGTTAGCTGAACGAAAAAATGTTTTTTTATCCGTTGCATAATAGAAATGAGAATCCTGTTACGTTTTTCCCGTGGGTTTGACAAAAATTGACTACAATTTACATTGATCAAACTCAACTTCATTTTACTGTTAATATAACCAAAGACTTCAACCAAAACTTCAACTGATATTCAAATGTCTTTCGCCTTATTAGATCACTCCATGCCGCACTGTCCGCGAAACTTGACTTGTCGATTGGGGTGAATGAAGTAGCATTCATATATAGTAATCGAACTCACTCGAAGCCAATTGGGAATTTGCCAGAAGTAATTGAACTATTAAAACGAGATGAAAATCAAAAAATTAATAACAAGAATTGAAAATGAAAAATTAAAAGATTCCAAACTAAGATACTTCACGACGTTTCGATTGTTAGTATCCATAATCGTCTTCGGGTGATAACTGGACTTCCTCCGAGATCTGACTATTTATAGGTGCTTTCACCTATCCCCTCTTTTCTCTCTCCGCTTTATTGGTTTTAGCGGGAGATGACCGTATGGCGGAAGTTGGTCGTTTTTCGTTTGATTAGAGGTTTCCATACGTACCTCTATGCTGGCTTGACTAAATGCGTTGTTGGACAACATATATGCGGCTTCTTTGAATTTTCTCCAAAATCAATGTTCCTCCTTGTGGATGATGTCGGCTTGAGCCCACTTGATGTTATGTTGATGATTCCAAACGTGCTCTGCTATTCCTGTGGGCACATCGTTCCGCGCACTCTAATGCGATAATTCGCGATTCCATTGTCATGGAAATCAACGCCGCCGTATTTATTATATTCGTTTATCACCAATGGTTGCGGTATATTTATTTCTTTTTTTAGTTTCCTGCCATAACGCTTTACAGGTTAAACTGGATTTATAGAAATATTGATCGGAATTGTTGTTCCATCTCACAATACATGACTTTGATTTTGAATCAAATCTGTAGTCGAAACATCATCTCTCTTCATTTATGGTGCTTGTTGACTCAAGCTTACAATTCGAAATGCGGTTGTCTCGTATCGTACCTGTTGCATGTATGTGTCTTTCACCAAGAAATGAAAAAAGCTTATAGGACGAGAAAAAGTTATCAAAGAATACCCTGTGTGAGGAAAGATCAGCAAACTGACAACAACATGTGCTCCAAGCCCCATTTCGGTTTTTTATTTTCTTGTTCCACCGTAAGGCATAAACTGGAATAAATATTCATCTTCTGAACATAGACACTATAGTTCAAATCCAAAACGAACTGGTTTTCCTTTTATAAACATTTTACCAAAGTGTCTGCCGAAGTATGGAACCATTTCTTCGTCGATTGAAAGGTTATGTGAAAACAGTCCGAATTTCCCCCTTCATTCACGCCGGTATCCAGGCCATGGTGGTTCGGATAACCACGTAAAGGGGGCTATATATGTGAAAAATTATCAAAAGGTCTCCCAAGTGGAAGGCGACTTCAAAAAATCAAATTGTTTTTATGTGTTTTTTATTATGAAAAGTTAGAAAAAAATGGGTGGCAGCATTGCTTTGTGCAAGACCGCTGCGCCCCACGACGAAGCTCCTGTTAACCAACAGAAGGAGCATTGGTCATATGCGCCTGAAGATAGGAAGCAACGACCATCTACAATAGAGAGAGAGAAAAATGAGAATATTGGTACTTTCTTTTGTAAAAAATAAATGTTAATGTAACGTTGACTTTTCGCATCAACGGCGCTTAATGGGTTAGAAAAACTTGATTCGTCATAGAATTTCATTAATGATAATAAAAAAATGTGTTAATGTTGGGAAAACATATCTACCATTTCAGTTGTTTTTTATTCATTCAAGTCATCAAATTAAGCTGATATTCTGTAACAAAATAATCAGGAAATGATATCGAAACGCCTCAGAGTTCATTCCAAAAATATATGAATATATTTCATTTACTTGAAGGTATTGATCTAAACAATAATTTTCCAGGTGGAATTGAAGCAGTAACTTTCATGAGAACCAATATTTCATCTGAACCAGATCCATCGTATCCCGATATGGAATTTTTATTTGCCTCTATATCGGCCAATAGTGATTATGGCTTGGCTTTCCGAAAAATCGTCAACATATCTCCTGCTATATATGACAAAATTTGGAAGCCCTTGGAAGGTGAACCAGTGTTTCAAGTAAGATGAACTATCAGCACTATTTACATCGGCTTAAGCTTCTCTATTTTTTGGAGTTCGGGTGCCAGTTCGTCTTATGATTATGTCCTATGATTCCACGGTTTCTCAAATTTTAATATTATTTTCCATGACATAAGTATAGGTATATTCAAAATATTCCTGAAATATCCAAATACTTTTTTGTTTTCATTGTGGAGACAATATTTCGAGAACGAGCTTTTGCATTTAATTATTCAACTAACTCATTTCCAAACTTACTAAGGTCGGTATGCAGGGTAACCTCCTGCGATGGAAAGCTCATAGTTATAATCAAAATGTGAACCTTCTGTACTAATTTCGGGTGTTCCGCAGTGGTCACACCTGAGCCCGATGTTGTTTCTGGTTTCTAACAGAGATTCCATTTTTTGCTGGACTTTTTCGGGGTACCAAATATGATTGGGGATACAAAGTAGAACAACAGGATGGATTCTGCAGAGGTGAGTTATTTCCATCTTCATGGATTCGTGTACTACTCAGAACTACTACTACTCAGAACTACTACTACTCAGAATAGAAAAACTAGAGTAGCGTTATTAGGTCTAGACCAGTCAAAAAGTTATTATCTATACTACAAAACTCGAGTGTCTGAATTTCAGCCAAACAGTTGAGTGTCATCAACATAAAAGTATACTTCACATCACTGAAAGCTGCTGATTGAATTTGAGG